AAGCTTTGTGACTACAGGTTTGTGACTGTACAGGTTTGTGACAACCCAGGTTTTGTGACTAAACAGTTTTGGACTACACAGGTTTGTGACTATCAGGTTTGTGACTGTACAGGTTTTATGACTACACAGACTTGGGACCAGATTTAGGGGTCGTACACAAATCACCACAATGCTAATATAGTTAATATGTCTCAATGAGTTTTTTGGCATTGGATTTGGTTGGCAAGATGAATTATTCAATGTGAGTTGGTATTCCAGTTCCGCCATAGCCCCTGGGAGGGGCAAATAAGACGGCCAAGAATTAAGACGGGGTAAACTTGCTTTTGGGGTTTATTGGGGTTGGATTTGGGTTGGCGAGATGAATTATTCATTGTGAGTTGGTATTCCGTTCCGCCATAAGCCCCTGGGAGGGGCAAATGTGACGGCCAAGAATTCAGACGGGGTAAAACTTGCTTTGGGGTTATATTGGGTTTGGAATTTGGGTTGGCGAGATGAATTATTCATTGGGAGTTGGTATTCCGGTTCCGCCATAGCCCCTCAGAAGGGCAAATGTGACGGCCATGATTAAGAGTGGATAAAACTTGCCTTTGGGGTTATGTTGGGGTTGGATTTGGGTTGCGAGATGAATTATTTGTTGTGAGTGGTATTCAAGTTCCAACATAGCCCCCTCGAGGGGCAAATAACACGGCCAAGAATTAATAATGGATGAAAGTTGCTTTTGAGGCGATATTGGGCTTAATTTGATTTTATCTGACTTTTGATTTCACCTATAGGTTACTCGGAGAAAGGGTTGATTTGCTCCTAAAATTTATATTATATTCAATGCCGTGCAAATACTTTTCTTTGGAGGTCAACTCTCACCCGACCTGATGGATCTCTCTCAAACAAAATTTGATAGTTTGAAATCGAGTATATTGAAGAAAAAAATACCCAAATCCAACCCCAATATAACCCCAAAAGCAAGTTTTACCTACTCTTAATTCTTGGCCGTCTTATTTGCCCTCCCAAGGGCAATGGCGGAACTGGAATACCAACTCCCAATGAATAATTCATCTCGCCAACCCCAATCCAACCCCAATATAACCCCAAAATCAAGTTTTTATTCATTCTTAATCTTGCCGTCTTATTTGTCCCTCCGAGGGGCTATGGCGGAACTGGAATACCAACCTCACAATGAATAATTCATCTCGCCAACCCAAATCCAACCCAATATAACCCCAAAAGCAAGTTTTACCCCATCTTAATTCTTGTCCGTCTTATTTGCCCCTCTCAGGGGCTATGGCGGAACTGGAATACCAACTCACATTGAATATTCAGCTCGCCAACCCAAATCCAATGCCAAAAAACTCATTGAGACATATTAACTCATATAGCTTGTGTGAATTTGTGTACGACCCTAACACTTGGTCCCAGTCTGTGTAGTCATAACCTGTACAGTCAAACCTGTGTAGTCACAAAACTGTATAGTCACAAACCTGTGTAGTCACAAACCTGTATAGTCACAAACCTGTAGTCACAGCTGTAGTCACAAAGCTTTGTGGTCATAATCCTTTGGGAACCATATTTTATAACATGCTTAATTTTTATACAGTTATAAAATAAATGGCATGATGTCTCCGTTTCTTCGCAAACAGAAATTGCAATTCCTTTCATCCTGTTCTCCCTTGATTTATTGGTGAACAGAGAAGATTCCCATTCTGTATCGGAACCATTTTTCTATTTTCTACTTGGAGGGTGTTAATTCTTCTATGATCTAATAAAACTAAATCTTATCTTTTGGACATAATCAACGTATGGATAAAAGATTATTCCGCGAGTAGTTCACGTACTCAGATATGTCCCTTACTTTCTCCTGTAAAATGGCTCTACCTTACTTTTACTACCTTTTCTATGGAACTCAAAGCGACCATACATACCGGACATCAGACTTCACACTCGAGTTCACGATTGGGGGTTGGGCCTCGTTGATCTCGAATCATTTTGGAAGTCCTTGAACTTTTCTTGGCTGAGGAGACTGAGGACGAGTGAAGAGTTCTGGGCTGTTAATATTAAAAGAAAATTTGCAGTTAAAACAAAGTGTCTGTTCGAACAACGAATCTTTATGGGCCCCGATGAACTATTTAGAATTGTGAAGAACATTGATGTGTCATGGCCAATATGGTATTATCATGGGAGTCTGCTATGAGTGGAGTCTTCGATTTATTAAAGGAGCATGAACCACTGGACTTTAATAGAATCATAGGTAGTACTGATGATTTTTCAACTATGATAATCTCACATCAAGGGGTTAAGTCTCGCAGCTACGGGGAAAATATAGCCCACAAACTTTTTTACTGGCGTCGAAAATTTTACAAAATGAATCACATTCCGTTCCCCTATATTCACACCCTTTTATATTGCACTGGAGGCACCCCAAGATAGAACAAAAAAATCGCATGAACGTTTACCTGAAGGCACAATAAACAATATAATATCTCCCATATTGCTCTTAATGTTATTCAACTAAACACATAAATATATAGAATGAAATGTTAAAAAATGTTTCTCAACATTAAGTAAATCATAATAAATGATCGCCTAGAAGGTGGAATCGAACCACTCTGCCGTAAAGCAGCTACAGGTTTGAAGCCTGCACACCGGACCACCGAAGATCATCCAGGCGTTTAAGTTGAGTATTATAAAACAATATATACCTTATTAAGTAATATACTTTTTCCTTTCAAACAATAGAAAGAGAATCTCGCTCTTCTGAATATTTCTATATAATGATTTAAATAATTTAACTACGAATATGCTTCAAGATATATATACGACTTTATCAAACCGGTTTTATAGACCGTCTGTAATGTTGTGAAAAGATTAACTTTATGCCAAATATGTTCCTATCTTAAACTAGAAGAAAGTGACATCTGCCGATTTGTCATTGCATTTAACACTTGAGGGCCTTCATTTTCTTCAAGTAAAGCAATAGTTGTGTGATGATTATTATATCTTGTTACTTAGGATTAGACACACTCCTTATAAGATAACAATTAATCAATGTGTCGTAATATAAATGGACTTGGGCAACTTGTGTTTATACTTTTAAAAAACTTGAGAAATCATCTTCCTAGTGGATATTAATATTTAGTCATTTTCTTATTTTGTTAACCGATCAGGGCCAATATTCAGTAAATGTTTTATTTTTTTAGACAATCTCTCTTTAGTGTCATACCAGTATTTTAAAATAATTTTAATACCTTTAAGCTTAACCAAAGTACTCTTAATAATTCATAAGTTTGGATAGATGAATACTGGGTCAACATTTAAATATATATATATATAACATTATTTTTAGTGCAACCTTTTCATATCAAACAGTTGATCTATGTTATTTTCTCACAGCTATAAGTCGAATTGCTTTAATAAAAAAGTAAGGGAAATACGGAACTTGTAAATTCTTTACAATTTAAATTGTTTTTACTGTTTTAATAATATATTTATAAAACAAATTATTTAATGATAAGTTTTTTCCTCCAGCCAATTTTTATTTAAATAAAGCGTTTTGGTATATAATGACTTTTGAGTCAAATTTAATGCATTATTTATAATGCCCGTATTTGAAAGAAAATTTATAGTTATTATTTATAGTTATTTTACTTATATCAGTTTATACATAAAAACTATACAGTAAAATATAAAATCTATTCAATTTGTTTCAGATTCAGATGCTTATTTTTATCCAGTCGGATGTAATTCTGGCGAACCATATAGGTAAATTTTAAAAAGCTATACAGTAAAATACATATCTATTTTGTTTCAGACTGTTACCGAAATATATTTATAAAAATATTTATTGTTACTAAAAATATATTTCTTTGATAGCGTAGGAACATAAAGGCTAAAATCTAACTAGGTAGTAACATTAATCTAGATTTATTATTAATCCAGAACTATTATTCATTGGTATTGGATATTTTCATTTTGAGTGTCAACACGACAAGTCGTTCAAAAATTTCTACGGGGGGCATCTTTTTTAATTATCCCTGCAAGGACTGTGGTAAAATCTTTAATTCCATTGTTCATACATTTGTTGAGTGTCCGTATGTTTATATTTGACGGAATTCTTGAAACTAAATTTTGAGTCTACAAAAGTGGCAAAGGGCATTATTTTGTAAGGGTTTCCCGAAGATACAGAGGTGTAAAGATCGCCAGCTTGAGGCAATCCATTTTTCTCTTCTTAGTGCCAAGGCTTTGATTGGATCCAAATTGACAAAAGGAGAGCAATTAAACAGAGCGGAATTGAGATCAATTTTCATTTCAGCTTCTGCTAGGTATTTTGCGCTCGATTTAAAAATCCCTGCGGCTTCAGGTTCTACATGGAATTATGCAGCTGACTTGATTAATTTCAAATGCTCATTTTCTTCACGTTATTTTAGTTATTTAAAAAGGTTTACGTCGCTATATTTTCGCTCGCATAAATCTAAATTTTAACAGCAATTTTGATTGTAAATGATTATGCTTTGGAGTCTTCAGCCTTCTTTGGGGGAAGCAAGAAGGTTCCTTGAGTCGGTGGCCTTCCTTCCCCTGACATGTCCAAAAAGGAGAGCGGTGACCTTGTCGAGAAGAAAAAGAAGAAGAAGCTTCCCATGAACTAGATCCCAACGTGGAGCCCGATCCTGAGCGCTGGATACCCAAACGGGAGCGTATCGCCTTCCGTAAGCACCTCAAGCGAGAGCGGCGGAACAAGGGAGAAAAGTTCACAAGGGCACAAGGCGACAATTATGACTACTCCTCCAGGAAGGCCACATCAAAAACTCCTCAACCCACCGCCTCAAGGTATCAACACACAGACGAGGAGGCAACAACGAAAGGAAAATAGAAAAAAGGGGTTTAGGCCTCTCGGCTTCGATCCTCGATTTATTTTGTGTTCTTGAAGTTTTGTTTGTACTCCTTTGTATTTATTTATATGTTGTGTTCATTATAGTTTATTATTTATTTGGTGTGTGTTTTTAAGTTATGTTAGTACACGTTTTTATGAATAGAGGTTTGGTCTTTTATAGGTAATCTAATTTTAAACTATAATTTTTATTTATGTAACATGTACACAATTTTACCTATATATATATATTTTTTTTTTTTTCCACAGTTCTCTAAAAACATACACAAAAAAGATATAATATGTTTTTAAAATTGAGGTAAATACGTAGAAAAATACACAAATAAACATTATAGTTTAAAATTTTTACCTCAACAGAGAACGTTCTAATTAAAAATTACTGATTATGATACAAATGACATCAAATAAAATTACTGATAAAAAATATAATGCATTATATCACAGTAAAGTTATTTAACAAAGATGGCAACTAATTAAAATCTTTAAATCGTTTTAAAATTATTCTAATAAATTTTCGATGACTTAGTGCTACCGATGGGAAGTATTTAATTTCTTCCGACGCCCTGGTCCACGAATTGTCGAAAAGGGTAGGTATCTTGAGGTCCAAGGCAGCGTACCTTGCTGCAGCCGATAAAAGAATTGCCTTCAATTCCCAGGGATGAAGAGGTTCATTAGTTGTAATTCTCTTCGCGATGAGGGCCTTTGCGTTGAGGATTCCAAAGTTTATCGCCTTTGTAGTCGAAGAACGGCCACCACTATTTAAGCCAAAGAGTACAACAGCTTTACAGTACTTGTCGGTTGATTTTCCTTCTAATCCTCTGAGGTTCAGCTCCACAAAGCGTTTTAAAATGCTTACTGCTCTACAATCCACAAAAGCATGTAAAATGCTATTATATAGGGTTCCGCAATCCTTGCAGGGCCTGTAAAATCTAATCAGATCCGCTGAGACCTGAAGTTGGGCCGTAAACTTCTTTCCATCAGCAATTTTTGCCAATGACCTCAGGATATTTTTCCTCCATCTTTCAGGGAGATCGAGGAGGTCTAAAAACTTTTGACAGGTTCTGTCAGCCATGTCTGAATCTGACTGAACATTCATTTTTAGATGCCATGGAGTAAGCAGTGTATGTTCCTTTGAAGACCTCAATAGTGGGAATTTGAACCGACCAACATCAAATTGGCTCCCGGGTTTGATGTCATGACGCGTGAAGATACCATTCTTAATTGCAGATTCCTCAAGGTCATGCGGATTGCCAAGACCACTAAAGAAATATTTTTTATCAGCGTTTCTTCTTATTACGTCCAGTGTTGAATCGTCTTTGAATTTTGGGATATAGTGCCAAATTATTCTTTGGGCGGAACCCCAAACTGGAGATAGTTTTGAAGTAATTCGATTTGTCAGATCCGAGCCCATGAAAAGCCACTTAAATATCTCGCTGCAGGCCACCGTTCTTCTCCATTCTATTAGGGGCTTTTTCGTGATGTCCACTAATACTTTTATATATATTTTTGGAATAATTTTAACCAGTTGCACAAGGCCTCCGCCGATTTGCCTTTTATTCCTCTTTACCGCTGGAAGATATCTTCGGTGAAAGAGAGATCGAAGCCACTTTTCTTCCTCTTGGACAATTTTTTCCGCAAGAAAAGGAGAAGATGAAGCTCTATATATGATTGCAGGTATTACTCTGGTATTATAGAGGTCGATTCTCTTCTGGAGATTGAAGGCTCTCCAATTGGTTACTAAATGGGAGACATTAGAATTGATGTTAGACCAATTCTTTTCATCAACTCCATTCCTGCACCAGACAATTCCTAGGATCTCGACCTTCTCTTTAATTTGACATGAGCGAAGAATTAGCCCCTCTGTAGGGTTCCAAAGCCCCAGCGGAAGTATTGCTGTTTTTTCTATATTCACCGTCAGGCCTGATCTTTTCTTAAACTTGGAAAAGTAGTCTAAAATTATTTCTACCCTTCTGGCGATTTGCCGTTCTGAATTGGCCTGTAATGTGATAGTGATATCATCTGCATATAAATCTACAAGGTGACTTTGGCCTGCAATATTGATTCCGAAACCACCGAACTTTTTTAATAAGTTTGTGATAAATTCTTCAATGGCGGCAACAAACATTAGAGGAGCTGAAGGACAACCTTGTCTACAGCTTTTTTTTAAGATGATCGGACTGCTCTCACATCCATCAATGGAAATTGTAGATGTTCCGTTGAAAAGTAGAGCTCGAATCGGATTGAAGTATTCCTTCGGAAGAAGTTTCTTGACAGCCTTGAGAATTTGATGGTGAGAAACGGAATCGAAAGCTTTGCAGAAATCAATCGCGATGATTGCCCCAAATTTTTTGTTTTCATTAATAGAGTCGATTGAGGCTTGGATATTACGTGATATATCGTGAATTTTACGACCTCTTAAAAAACCTTTTTGGTGTGGACCAATTTTTTCATTAAGAAATGCCTCCATTTTTTGAGCGAGGACTCCGGAAAGAATTCTATAAGACACATTCAAAACTGTGATTGGACGCCAGTGGCTGAAGTTTGAGCCGTCACCTTTCTTAGGAATAAGGGCAATGCGCCCATTCGTGAGAGAACTGGGCATTCTTCCTTTTTTTCTTATTTCTTTTATTTTTTATTATATTTTATAACACAGTTATAATAAAGACCTTTAATATAAAAAATTAAAAAAAAGTAAATCAAAAAGATTTTGTAGTCTCAGTAAGTCATCTGACAATGAGACCATATAGTATAGAAAGAAACAAGCATTGAAAGAAAAGTAAAT